TTATACACTATCGTTGTTCTTTGTGAGAATATTTCTCCAGTTAGGATATTTAATTTTATCTTTACATCTTTGCCTTGCCTAAGTCAATATTGTCCAAATCGCTGCCGTAATCCTTTGTTGTTTAAAAGCTATCCCGCGAGTGCCCAGGATGAGCTCAGGGACGGTATAGCCCGGTGCCGGCAGCCAGGACGCCCAGCATCGCGGCGGACCCCAACGCCAGTCTCACGCAAGCGGCGATGCCCGGACAGTACGTTTGAGGGGTGGCGGCAGCTGGGTGGCTCAACATCAGGGGCGACCCTAACACCACCCAGGACCCCAACGCCAGTCACACGCAAGCGGCAGTGCCCCATGGCTCCGGTTAAACCACGTGGAGATGCTGGAATGGAGAGCCGACGGCCAACTGCAAGCATTGCCCACCCAGTACTGTATTCCAGATATCTCGCCAGCACCTATAGAGAGGCCGGGGATACTATAGCTCGGTGCCGGCAGCCGGGTAGCCCAGCATCGCGGCGGACCCCAATGCCAGTCTCACGCGAGCGGCGATGCCCGAACGTTACGTTTGAGGAATGGCGGCAGTTTGGTAGCTCAATATTAGGGGCGACCCCAACACCACCCGGGACCCCAACGCCCATCCCGCGCAAGCGGCGATGCCCCATGGCCCCGGTTACACCCCGTGGAGATGCTGGAACGGAGAGCCGATGGCCAGCTGCAAGCATTGCCCAGCCAGTACTGTATCCCAGATATCACGCCAGCACCCATAGAGAGGCCGGGGATGCTGTAGCTTGGTGCCGGCAGCCGGGAAGCCTAGCATCGCGGCGGACCCCAATGCCAGTCTCACGCGAGCGGCGATGCCCGAACGTTACGTTTGAGGAATGGCGGCAGTTGGGTAGCTCAATATTAGGGGCGACCCCAACACCACCCAGGACCCTAACGCCCATCCCGCGCAAGCGGCGATGCCCCATGGCCCCGGTTACACCCCGTGGAGATGCTGGAACGGAGAGCCGATGGCCAACTACAAGCATTACCCAGCCAGTGCTGTATCCTAGCTATCCCGCGAGCGCCCAGGATGAGCTCAGGAACGTTATAGCTCGGTGCCGGCAGCCAGCAGCAGGTGGTGACTCTGTAATGGAGACCTGGAGCGGAGGCTATGGGGTGGAGGATATAGGGTGTGTATCGTTATGGACATATATCTATGGGGCTGGCCCTGTGGCATGGGATGGCGGTTGGGTTGGGACCTGTGGCGGGGAATATGGGGTTGTTTACGAGGCGGAGGCCAGCGGTGGAGACTGGGCGACGTTGGAGACGGGACATTGGAATTGGGTGGAGGATCCCGTAGCGATTGGTACAATAGATCTAGAGTATTCTCTACAATAGGCTAGCATGCATAGGCCACTCGTATATACCAAATATTACATGACCACCCTTATATTAATGTCGGACCTGGATCCCCAATACCCCGCGTCCCATCAAAGTACAGGAATATAATTCCATCGCTCGCCCTCATGCAATATCACTCGCTCCTTTCATCAATCCTACCACATATACCCCTGTCCACTTTGGACATTCCACAAAATGGCCATCGGTGCACACCCCCCGTACTGGCTATGGGTCTGCTATCCCACTGCACGTACCACCGGGTGCATCTAGGCGGTTCCTATGTTTATTAACGACTCTCGTTCCACATAAAGGTGTCCGATTAGCCCTAATAGGTCTCCAGCCCTCCACCCTGCTAGACGGGTATTAGTACATCGTCACTGAAGGGGGCTAGGTGAGGGCGTGCCTGGATAGGGCGCAAGGGATGGGGGAGGGTCTGGCAATCTAGCCCTTAAAGCCTGGTTTCCCCGATAAAGGCGCCAGGCACTTGCCCGGAGGGTTTCCTCGAATGTAGGGCCTAATGTACATATTGCCATTGTGAGTGGGGAGCGGATATAGGATGAAGGCCCTGCGGAACAGGGGATGGTGCGTTCGTTCGCTGAACTATGTACTCCCGTACATGGTGTAAGGTCCGTGTGTAGGTTGTTGGTATTTCCTCCTGAGTAGGTTCTGTGGATTCGTTATCTCAGGAGGGGGGAAAGGGGCTGCTCCCCTTTTAGACGTCTCGTAGCACACGGCCCAATTATACGAATAATAGGTGTCTCCTGAATCACCTTGCCCCACGAGCCAAGGACTGTAGGGCGTTGGACAGACGCAACCAATAGGTGATGCGGCCCAGCCAGACCCCTACGTGTACTACACCGGGGATTACCTCAAGCGAGAATACAACCACACCGCCTAGATGCATCTCACTCAACTCGGAACACTTGAGCATAGCGCGGAGCCTGGCACCCCTGCTAGTGAGAGGATGTGCTTTCCGCTAAAGGCGCTTATCGATGTGTGTATTTATAAATACCTGTTGCACCCCCTGCTGCCGATGGCACGGCAGAGCATGTTTCCATCGACCAGGCCCACCCGATCCACATTTTATAATTTATCCAGAAGCTCCTCTGCATTTGCAAAACGAAACCTATAGCCCATGTGTGGAATACCAGATGCCGTTGTTGAGAGGGTGCTCGCAGAGCATTCGGAACAGCCTCGGGATGTTGATGAGGCCATGGGGATTGGTAAGGGAGCCGGGGATGCGATAAAGGTAGGACGGGTGGATCCGTGGAGAGTGAAGGGAGGGGGGCTGTGGGATTGGAAAGAGGTGAACGCTGTTGAGAGACACTTCCATTGAATAGCTATATATGGCTAACTATCCCCTTCACGGGGGGGCTGGATATAGGCAGAGGCGAGGAACCTCTACGAAATATATAATCTGGGAGGACAGGATCGCACATACAGTCGGATCCCAGAGGAAATCAAGCGGCCTGCAGAAGACGGACTCTACACCTGGATTGAAACGAGGTATCCGGAGTTCGCATCCCGAAGGTATGCGACCTGGAGAATGGCGAGAGTCTGGAAATCATTAGCGCGAAGAAGGGCTCGCAGGAGAAACAAAGGTTTGCCCCTTTCGTGAATCGGTCCATTCTCTACCCATACTAAATGCAGCTCCTCAGGACAGGCCAATGGCAATCGGCCATGTGGGGAGCCATTCGCGACTAGTCGCCAAGGTGATACCCCCTCGGGCAACCAGGATTCCACCACTCCGGAAGCACCACAGGGATCCTCAGGGAGGTCTAAAGGTATGTTTACGTCCCCGGGTGCCCTTCCACCTGGCAAAGGCTAATATGGCGTAGGGCATTTCAGACCATGGGAGTAGGGATATTGCGGGGGCTATCGCAGGTATCGGCGGTTGTGTTTAGGAAATAGCGAGGCGTTTGAACAGAGGTGAGAGGGCTAGCTACAGCGGGGGGGTCGTACTCTCTACCTTTTATGTCGTCCACAAGGTTGAGCATACTCATAACCTTCCATACCGGAGGGGTTCCGATTTGACCCATGGCTGCAGAGAGACATGGAAGCACTATCCACATCCGGTGAGAATATTGCGCATCGTGTAGTAGCTTTCTTTGACACCGAGTGATACCCCGTGATCGCTCACAATTCCCGCATGACCGGCTGACCTATACGGATCCACCTCCCGAGCCCGCAATACATCAGCCCTCATCCAGTATGCCAATAGAGAACCATTTACCATGACCCCGAGGGTACGGCCCTCCACACCCCATACCCTGGCTCTCAATGCACATTGAAGCCTAGATGAAGATCCTAGCAGAACGGAAGCCCAGGTCTCCATTCATGACCCAAAGCCTGAACCACTGCACAGTGTGATCCCGGAAACACCCCAAATCGATGTTGGCCCTTTGGCATTCCCCCTTTACCTTATCAATGAATCCTTCAGGCTACGTTGACCTTGAACTAATCCGGAGCAGAGGGTAGGCTACTAAGCGAGTATGCTAAATCGCCGTGGCACTTACCACCTAATCTGAGAACTAACCGAGAGTGGGTGAGTACTGTACCGGTATTACAAGAGGATTTAATAGTAACGGCGCTTACCTAATCTGGGCGCTAACCCAGATTGGCCGAAAGGCTGCTGGGCGAGTATATTAGACCACTATACTCACCCGACAAATGCCAAGCTTCGTTTAGTCATCCCCGGACCATTGGGGTCCTTCACCCATCGTCCCTTCACTTGAAGCGATACATCCGACATACGTAGCTGACCAAGGTGTTGCCGGGGGTTTACATCCTGCCATGCCGAGAGAGATCGCGGTGGCTGGTATGAGGGGTGGCACACGAATGATCGTGAACAGTGGAATGTCGGGAGTGTCAATTTGTGGGAATTGCTGCAATGGGAATCAGATAGAATGTTGGATTCATGCCAGTGGGCTACGCTGGATTAGGAGGCCTATATGTTATCCTTCCTGGTTGATTGTATATGAGATGAAGATGCTACAAGGGTTTACTTGGTTTTCATCTACGCCCCGGCGAGTGATCGGGCATGATCGCTCAATCCGGTAGCCCAATACAATCTACGATGGATTGCAGGGCGCCCTCGGCTGACCCCACCAGCCCTCGGTGCCGTCCTAGACGGGGCGGATGGCGGTTGACTGCATCCGAAACGACCCCTCCCCGTTGACTAGATATCCACCGTCCTGGAACGCCGGACAGACAGCGACCCGAGCGGGCGGACCCCCGAGATAGGTTACATGCGATCCGAATGGCAGGCCATAGCATGCGTTCAACAATAGCGCCGGATCATTGGCTCAGACATATTCATGGCTATGTAAAGGATCGGCGGTCCAGCCCCAACTCCGCCTGCTATACAATATAATGCCAAATCAATAATGCTAAACCAGTTAAAACCACTGCAATGAGCCCCAGTCTTGTATGCTACCTAAACGGTACAATGAGCTTAATGAGGGAAATAGGGAAGGCACGTGGACTCTCGGTACGGGGAAGGTTTGTTGTGCCTCTGTCATTGTCTAGAGGCAACATTATTAATTACTGCAAGGTTGCATATTGGTAGATGTACAAATCTCAGTTGCGAGGGTCTCATTCTTTGGGTCTCTCAGCGGCCTCGGTTAATCCCCTCCCTCCTCCACCGCCTCCTCATCATTAGTGTCTGCATCATTGACATTAGGAGGATCCGCGGGAACTCCGGCGAGGATGGAGAACTGCACACCGGCAGCGGCGAAGGTCATCCTGATACCTCTGGTGGCCGTGTTCTCAATCTTTGTAGGGGTCGTGATCTCGTCATCGGCGTCGGGGCCGAGGCCGGTTTGATAACTGCCACTAAAGCCCCAAGAGTATGCTTGTCCCTCCATCGAGACGGCAATATTGTGGTCCATGCCGCAACCAATGGTGGAGAACCTGATGCCGGGGACAGTATGTGGGGTCCTGAGGTAGCGGGGGTTGCCCCTCGAGTCACTGACGCAATCGTCCGGTGAAAGCGCCGCAGGGTCTATACTGAGCTGTCCACTGTCAAGACGTCCCCAGACCAGGAGCACACCGTTCTCGGTCAGGGCGGTTGAGTGATGTTCTCCGGCAGATATCTGAACGATTGCGTACCCTGCAAGACTCTGGACGACGGTAGGAACGGGAATCACAGTCGATGCTCCCCGGTGCGCTGAGGCTCGCATATCCCACATTGCCCATATATGATTGAGCCCCCATGCCCAGAGACTGCCGTCCCGGGTAATTGCGAAAGAATGATTTGAGCCGGCCGCAACGTAGTTGACCTTGCGCCGGCGAAGGGACACCTGGCGAGGGGTCAGCCCGGTGAGGCGACGTCTCTCAGAGACACGCCTTCCGAGCTGGGATTGCTGACCGTTGCCCCAAGCATACACGTCTCCTTCCTTCGTAAGGCCAAGGACGTGATCAGTACTAATACTGACCCGAACGATGCTCTTGGGCGTAGGTAGCAGGACTGGAACCTCCTGTACACTAGTCCTCTCATTGAATCTGAGAATGCAGTCGGCGCACTAAACATTAAATTAACCTTACTAACCCCGATTGGAGAATTAATCACATACCCTAAATGTTCCCCATCCGTAAACCCTACCGGTTTCGGTAACAGCAATCAAAATACTGTCACCGGCAGCAATACTCGTAATCACAGTCCCCTCTGGGAACGCTGTAATCAGCATTGGCGTGCTCTCCAATGGATTCAAGGGCACTTTGTCGTCACAGTCGCTGTTGCCATTATCACCAGAACACACAACCCGGGTCAGAGGTGTATGCGTGGTCGCTCTCCCAAGAGCATACTGATCATTGACACCCCACGAGTACACCTTCCCCTCGTACGATAAGGCTAAGCCGTGCATACCACCCATTGCAACGGCAACTATTCCCACCTTTTCGGGGAGGAGATGGGCATTCAATCCGGGACGCTTGACAACCTTTGCGTTAACCTCTGGCCCAATGCCCAGCTCGGCATTGTCACCAGTACCAAATGCATATATGTTCAACTTCTGCGTCGGGAGAGGGTTGGTGATGGCGGAAATCGGTTTGATGGTACCAGCCCCGCGGGCCATCGCCAATCTACCCCGAATGGCACGCGGTGTTCGGTTGAGAATATCTGCAAGGGTGCTTGTATCGGTCCCTCGCGCGTATTCCTCATGCAGTCACGCATCCTCCGTAACTGTCCACTTACGCCACCCTGCCGGGATGGGCTCAATGGCACCCGTTTTTCGTAACCTTGCCAATCTGGTCTGAGCAGCATGCGGTGTACGGTTGAGGGTAGTCGCAGTCTGAGGGATGCTTGTTCACCGTGCAAGCCCCTCACGCAGTCGCCGGTCATCGCTGTCTGTCCATCTACGCCCCGGTACTACTGCCGTGCCACGTTTAAACCCTCCTTGTTCGACCCTGGTGGGGTGTATGTATATATGAGGCTTCCCAATTTTTGTAAATTATTTATCTGGCTCCGAAAAAGGTATTATCCATAGTAGCCAATGATGGCGGTTCATGGGTCTGTGGGGTGTCGTTCGAAAAGGTTGAGTGATCGTTGATGAAAAAGTACCACCACCACAATCTCTTCTACCACCAGTCCAGCAGTTGTGATGACTGGGGAGGACGTATGTATCCATGTGTTTGGTACACTCATGCGCGGGCAAGTGCTAGCGAGGGTGGGGACTGGCTGGAGATGAGTATCTTTGGCATTTTTCTTTTGCTAGGAAGTGGGGGGTATCAGCGTGGCTTTCTCTATCTATCATAACATTATTTGTCAGGTTTCCATACATACCTTCCTATATTCCACCAATACTCGACCGAGCCGGTGCAGTAGACCACTATCCTTCGCAGGAAGTCGGGGGCTTGAAAAAAAAAAAAAGCGAGGTATTTGTCTATCGAGTGATGTTTTGTGGTCTAGCGGAATAATAATATATTGTAGTTTATCAACCAAAGAGGGGGGGGCGAATGGTTCGTACAGGGCGTCCAAATCCATATCCATCACTGGGTGAACGCGGTAGCCTCCGGGGAGGAACTGTCTCTCTGTTCGCTTCACATTTGCTATTCCGAATATTTTGCCGCGTGCGAGAAATGGGCGGGCAAGCCTGTTTTCCTCCGATTCACAGTTGGATGGAAAATCATCACCGCGCTCGGGCTCTTTGCTTACTTCTTTTCTTGGCGGCAGAGTATAGGAGTTGGAAGACTCCCGAGATACTGGCATATCATCATTCTTGAGTGGACCTTTTAGCCAGACGAGCTGAGGTTCTTTCCGCCTGGTCTTGCGAGGTGTGCTAACGAGGGATGATGGTTAATTGGTGTCTCCTAAGTATGATATTGCACTATTCATGCAGCCATGTCATTAAGTCTCTACATAGTTGTTCACAGTAGTCTTAAGGATCCTTGTGCTATCATGCACCGCTTTCTTTCTGTTTGGGGAAAAAAAGGCCCTGAATGTTTATCTATTGTACAAGGGAGAAGAAAAAAGACATGAGGGGCAAGAGTCTATGGCCGGGGAAAAAAAATCAAATAATGTGATGAAAAAAAATGAAAAAAAGGAGCGGAGAAAAAGGTGTGACCACCATTATTTATCTATATTACAGACATTGTTCACTATGTGGAGCCAGCAGCAGGGGAGGGTTGAAAATCGCGGTCCAGCACATTCGCTCTTCCTTCACGAGCTTCGAGCGCCTGAACACACCGTTCCACCGCCAGCTGTCTGATATAAGTTCCTAGTTTTCTGTGGAAGAGACCCCAGTCAAAACCAATATGATGATTCTCCTCAAAGGAGACGTCCAAGAAATCGCAGAGGTGAAAGTATATATAGGTCGTATTGTCTGAGTTTAAGTGGTTCTATGCAAGTTAGCTATATCAGAAACATCATCTTTACCAGTCTTGAGGAGTCACTTACATGGGGTCCGAACGTGCGAATTGCCAAGTGAGATGTGGGATGACGTTTCCAGATTTCAAGCGAACTGGTAATTTTGCCTACCCAACGTAGACCTTTATAACAAGCAGGTCCATGGGCCTCATCAAGGGAGAAAAGTTCTTGGGAAACTTCTTCGGATGGAGGAAATTCTAGGTTGTCAAACTCCTCATCGGTAAGTCGTGAGGTTGGGTTTTGGTAAGCGGGATCCTCATTCAATTTTACCAGCATCACCGCGGACACGGTGTCTGTTCCCTCCAACCATATTCTGGCGTCCCGAACCAGATCGTCATACGTCTCAGTATAACCAACTTCCAATATGAACTTTACCTCCAGAGTCCCTGCTGCATTTTCCACCTCAACCATGGTATCAGGTACTTTTCGGGACCCTTTGTAACCACGTTTAAAAGAGCAGAATTTTTGATTGAAGACGATGGTGATTCTCTGACGAAGTGGTGTGGGGAGGCTACTTCTTGCTAGATTGAACCCTTCCGAGACAGTGCTGATAACCTTTTCATGAATCGGGCTGGGCGCATGTTGGATAATGAGTGTGGAGGTTAACGCATTAAACGAAATTTTCGGAAACCTGACACTACTTAGTAATTGACTTTAAAGTGGAATCAAGAGGGAGTCCTACTTTTCGTCATCGCCTACATCTAAGATCTCGCTGAATCTGATAAAATCAGACTTAGGCATTTGCATTCTTAGCTCCAATCCCTCCCCACCCGCAGGAGAGCCAAAACTCTCACCACCTAACCGCCAGTTTTGAAATTTCCGTACATATTCATCAACGGATACCGATTCAGGATCTCCGGTAGATGGGGTTGGCTCAACAGGACCGGGAGCGTCATCGGTAATACGGTTTTCCATGTGGCGATAAGGCGAAGGCTTAACGGCACGATGCAGAAAATTGTGCGGGACGGGTAACCACACAGGGGCTGGTCTAGGTGTACAGCTCGGCGGTGCGAAATAAACCTTCGGCGGTGCTGGGGGGTAACCAGGTGCACTGTAGCTCCCAAGCCCACCATAGCTCCTGGGTTCGTCCAGTCAGTACGCCATTTTACCGGAAATTACCTGTATGAATCACGTTAGTTGAAAAATCTTGAATGCAATGTAACGCATTATTTAATTGAACTGGAGATGGAGCTAAATAGAGTGTGGCTCAATAGGCAAGTGAGAGTAAACCTCAATAGGAAATTCTTTCCGTAAAAGCTTTGGTAGAAACACCACCATAAGGAGAATAATAGTTGGAGTCAAAGGAATAGGGAGAGGGAAGGTTGGGAAAAAACAAACTCTCTTACCGATGTCAATGGTTGTGGTCCGAACTGTAGTCTCCGAGCTTTTGGCGGTGGGTGGTGTGTTTGTGGGAGTTGGGTGGACGAGGAAGGTTTAAGTACTGGTGGCAAGTTTTTTTTTTACCACACAAGCAGTGTTGATTATGTCAGCGGATAGAATGGTCAAGGACCCTTTTTACCAAGACACTGCACCTACGGTAAGTCTCGTATATTATGCCATATTTACTCGCTAAATCCACCATCAAGGGATTGGGTGAGGGTTTTTATTTATTTATTAAAACCATCATTGTTGGAAATTGTTAGGAATCGCTGTTGTGCTCTTGGAGCATTCTCGAGTGAGGCTCTATGACTGCTTACGCAACTCGGTCTTTGCCCTTGGCGGGTGAATAGTGGTCTAATATACTCCCGCGGCCGAGTTGAAGTTGGACACCTAAGATGGCAACTCCCATAGAAAGTGTCCAACTTCAACTCGGTCGCGGGAGTACACACCCAGCAGTTTTCAGCTAATCTTGGTTAGCGCCCTCAGTACCCGAAAGGTAAGCGCCGCAGCAATTTAACGTACTCGCCCAGCGGCTTGTCTTCTGTCCCCCATTAGTTGAAGGTTAATGTGGCCTAATGGATTCATTGATAAATGGTCAATTTGGAGTGATTCCGGGATCGCTTTGTGCGATAGGGCAGGCTTCGGGTCCTACGGGAAAATGGGGACCCGATCCGGAGTGGGCGCCGCCTGCACCCACTCTGGGGCTAGGCCAACAAACTGTACAATGCATCAGTATGCATTTGCTAACATAATTTGCAGGCGCTGGTAAAAGCTACTTCATCAAGGAGGTCTCCGGTAACTCGGAGGTCGTATTGAGCGGTGATCTTTATTCATGTAAGTGTTCCCCCGCTGGAGGGGCTGAGCTCGAGTGCTGACAAGAAGGCACCCGCAAGGTCCAATCTTGCTCTTTTGAGTATGAAGGGGCGAAGGTCACGCTAGTCGACACTCCTAGATTTGAGAATGCGATTAGAAGCGATACCGAGAGCCTTCGAGAGATTGCCGATTGGACCTCAGTAACCTACGGGGAGAAGCGACTCCTCTCCGGTATCATCTATCTCCACCCCATCACCCATTCCAGCATGGAAGGTTCTGCCCTGAAGAACCTTAGGATGTTCCAGAGCTTGTACGGTCAGAAATTCCTGAAGAACGTATTTCTCACAACAACGCAGTGGTCCAGCGCCGATCCGGCAAAAGGGGAGGGTCGCGAAAATAGTCTCCGGAATGGTGATATTTGGGGTGGGCTTATTGATAAGGGGCCACTCTCTAGAGATTCTATGGTACTAGAGAATCCGGATTGGAGCTTATCGCCGATTGATGCCAAACAAACGGGAGCCTCGATATCCAGATTCAGATTGTAAACCAGCATGTGGCTCTACTTGAGACCGATGCAGGAAATATGTTATCGGGGCGCCCAAGGGAGGAAACGCAGAGGGGAGATAGAGAGCGTAGAGGGATGTTTTGAATGAGTTGTGCAGGAAAAGACCCTGTTGGTGGGGAAGGAAAAAGCCCAGAAGAACTCGGAAAGGCTGTAAAGAAGTTGCTATGGACCATGCTGCATTCCACAGCACCATGTGGGACGTAACGGGGGACGCCTGGGCATTTGATCCTTTAGAGCAACGATGGGCCTGGGTTTATATTCCTAGAGAACTTGAGTTTTTTTTTATTTATTTTTTATGAAGTATTCTTATTTGTCTGAGGCCCTGCTTGGCGCGCCACCATAAAGAAGTGCCTCACAGAGTTATCATTATGTTTATAATAGTGTATTTTTTTCTTCTCTTTTTTTCAGTGTCGCTCCTACATAGAATGCATGAGAGGAGAACTTTAGATCCA